CAGTTTTTATTAATGAGGGGTTTATGAAATCAATAACGCCTTTTGATTTGTTTTATCTCTCGTATTTTCAGTATCTATGATAAGAGTACAATATAACATATCTCTACCAAGATCTCATGATTTCAAATTCTTCTTCTCACTATGTTTGATAGATATTTAACTCACAACACTGACCAAAAAGTATCTTCGTCTCTCTTTCTCTCACCCCCCCCCCAACCAGGTTGTGGGGTGAACCTGGGGATGAGGGGTCTTGAGTCCTTGGGGACGTTTATCTACCGCACGGCCACGGCTGTGGACCAGAATGACATGTTGGAGGCCCTGTCCACCAAGATCCAGCACTCCAGACAGGTGGCCGAGACCTTCAGGCAGACTGGTCTGGCACACACCATGTTTGAGTGACAGCAGGGAGAACACACAGGGGGGCACAGTGGGACACTGTCTCTAGAGTCCCGATTTGAGTTTCAGCTGAAAGAGAAAAGTCACTTTTACACTAAACGTTAAAAAAACTGCTTTACCATCGTTGGCCCATGGATCAGGAGCACTGAGAGGGTTCTGTACATCTGAAGGGAGTAACTGAACAGGAAACAGACTCTATGGATGAATGCAAAGGAGGTTGGTGGCACCTTAATTGGGAAGGACAGGCTTGTGGTAATGGCTGGAGCGGAATAGGTGGAATGGTATCAAATAAATCAAACACATGGTTTCCAAGATCTATATCCTTTATGTATGGTCTGCCGTGAGGACCAAAGTGCATGTGTCAGTGTTTCATTTCAGGGATGGGTGTGTGTCTGTATTCTACAGTGGCTTCCTTCCCTTACCTCATCCAACCAATCCTGTAGGTTCAGATAGATGGATGATGAACAGGAAGCTGTTAAAGAGTATTGAGATGCAGTCTTGCGCTTGATGTTCTATGAGTTTAGCTGAAACTTGAATCGAGTTTTTCTTTGCTGTCTAGTGTATCTTTCTTTCTAGTGGAGTGACCTGTCTTGTGAGATGTTCAGTACAGTATGTTCTAATTCTGTGTTTTTGACTCCTTTGGAAGATGTTTCTTATGGTATGTGCCTGGTGCATCGTACAACTCACAAACCTTGGGCATTAGCCAGAAACAAATGGTTTCTGTTGTTACAACCCCTTTACTGCTGAAGAATGTTTAAGTAGCTTTGAAGATTCTAGAACTGCCACTGATTAGGACTTTTAGTATTGTTGAAGGAAGCTGAGTGGCAGGCAGATGGATACATCTCAAAAGTCTAAAGTAGGTCCCTCTCCTCATCTCCACTAATGTAAAAAGGCAAGATAGGTGAACGCAATATGTGCAGATGAAGGGAAGGAGACAAGGAGAGGAAGCCAGTTTGTACTATTGGGATGATGCACCCATAGTAACACAGGAAGATGTGGAAGGAGCTTATTGTGGCCTAATGTTCCAATGTGGATGAAGAGGATTCAGTAAGTAAGTAGTAACACGTGGGAGAGGGTATCATGTTGAAGTGCCATAAATACTGGCTTAATCAGTTATTACCACACTGGACTGATACAAGTGAAGAATGTACTCTTTCTATGGGTATTGTTTGTTTGTTTAATAAAATATATGGTCCTTCAAATCACAGGTTTCTATGTACAGTATGTAGTTCATGGTTAGGTCATAGTGCCATGTAGTGGTATTTTAGACATTAGGACATATTCTGTATCACAAGAGAAACATACAGCTTTGTACTTTGAAAAGTGGGGTATTGCTCCCCCCACCAACTGTATCTAGTAAACTATAAATAACTATATAAAAAAAGTTGGCTCCCAGAGGTCATCTGAGTCTCTACCACTATTGAGGATTTTTTTTTTTTTAAACAGTTAAACCTCAAGTTTACTATTACTTATTTTATTTAACCTTTATTTTAGCAGGGGGTGAGCCCTGCATCAATACATCAAATACACAACACATATTATAAACATATAATTTATATTATATAGAGTATGGGGAACACAATCACTATAATGAAATATGTGGACCAATAGGCAATAAGACACAGCCACAGCATGTCATAGCCAACATAACATACACATAGGCTATGCTAATACATTGTATGCCTCAGGTCTATATATATAGTACCAGTCAAAAGTTTGGACACACCTACTCATTCCAGGGTTTTTCTTTATTTTTACTATTTTCTACATTGTAGAAAACTATGAAATAACACATATGGAATCATGTAGTAAAAAAAAAGTGTTAAACAAATCAAAACATATTTGATATTTTTCAAAGTAGCCACCCTTTGCCTTGATGACAGCTTTGCACACTCTTGGCATTCTCTCAACCAGCTTCATGAGGTAGACAACTGGAATGTGTTTCAATTAACAGGAGTGCCTTGTTAAAAGTTAATTTGTGGTATTTCTTTCCTTCTTAACGGGTTTGAGCCAATCAGTTGTGTTGTGACAAGGAAGGGGTGGTACAGTGGCTTGCGAAAGTATTCACCCCCTTGGCATTTTTCCTATTTTCTTGCCTTACAACCTGGAATTAAAATGGATTTTGGGGGGGGTTGTATCATTTGATTTACACAACATGCCTACCACTTTGAAGATGCAAAATATTTTTTATTGTGAAACAAACAAGAAATAAGACAAAAAACTGAACTTGAGCGTGCATAACTATTCACCCCCCCCCCCCCCCCCCCCCCCAAAAAAAAGTCAATACTTTGTAGAGCCACCTATTGCAGCAATTACATTTACATTTTAGTCATTTAGCAGACGCTCTTATCCAGAGCAATTACAGCTGCAAGTCTCTTGGGGTATGTCTCTATAAGCTTGGCACATCTAACCACTGGGATTTTTGCCCATTCTTCAAGGCAAAACTGCTCCAGCTCCTTCAAGTTGGATGGGTTCCGCAGGTGTACAGCAATCTTTAAGTAATACCACAGATTCTCAATTGGATTGAGGTCTGGGCTTTGACTAGGCCATTCCAAGACATTTAAATGTTTCCCCTTAAACCACTCGAGTTGCTTTAGCAGTATGCTTAGGGTCACTGTCCTACTGGAAGGTGAACCTCCGTCCCAGTCTCAATTCTCTGGAAGAGTAAAACAGGTTTCCCTCAAGAATTTCCCTGTATTTAGCGCCATCCATCATTCCTTCAATTCTGACCACTAAAGGACACCAATAATAAGAAGAGACTTGCTTGGGACAAGAAACACGAGCAATGGACATTAGACCGGTGGAAATCTGTCCTTTGGTCTGATGAGTCCAAATTTGAGATCTTTGGTTCCAACCGCCGTGTCTTCGTGAGACGCAGAGTAGGTGAACGGATGATCTCTGCATGTGTGGTCCCCACCGTGAAGCATGAAGGAGGAGGTGTGATGGTGCTTTGCTGGTGACATTGTCTGTGATTTATTTAGAATTCAAGGCACACTTAACCAGCATGGCTACCACAGCATTCTGCAGCGATACGCCATCTCATCTGGTTTGCTCTTAGTGGGACTATCATTTGTTTTTCAACAGGACAATGAACCAACACACCTCCAGACTGTGTAAGGCTATTTGACCAAGAAGGAGAGTGATGGAGTGTTGCATCAGATGACCTGACCTTCACAATCACCCGACCTCAACCCAATTGAGATGGTTTGGGATGAGATGGGCCGCAGAGTGAAGGAAAAGCAGCCAACAAGTGCTCAGCATATGTGGGAACTCCTTCAAGAATGTTGGAAAAGCATTCCAGGTGAAGCTGGTTGAGAGAATGCCAAGAGTGTGCAAAGCTGTCATAAAGGCAAAGGGTGGCTACTTCAAATAATCTATATTTTGATTTGTTTAACACTTTTTTCGTTACTACATGATTGCGTTTGTAATTGTATAGTTTTGATGTCTTCACTATTATTCTACAATGTAGAAAATAGTAAACAAAGAAAAACCCTTGAATGAGTAGGTGTCCAAACTTTTGACTGGTACTATATATATATATATATATATATTTATTTTAAACTAATCATTCTATGAGAAACCCCAAGGGTGTGCAACATGCCTCTCTATGCAAGGAATAATGGACAATTGAGATGAGGTTGCTAAATCAAGTGGTTGAAGAGGTATTGACATTTGAATATTGTGATCATGCACTTTGTTGACGAACCCTTACTAGTTGCATTGACGGTGCTGCCTACACTATTGCGTTGTGAGTATGAAACTCGGGTCGGAATCTGGAAAATAAAACCTGTGCAATGTTGTAGACCTTTTTTCCTTCATGGAGTCCCTAACCTGAGGTATGTAGCTCCAATCGTTTGCGAGCTATTTACGTTTGAAGGCCCAAATGTCTGGCGAATATCTAAACTCAAAACAGTGGCCACTAAAACGTTTGCATACTGCTTGGCCTTGACTGTGGAAAGCCCCTAATTACCATTAACCACTTCCCTTGCTGAAAACACCACAGGAGACTGAAAAATATGTCATGAATTTTGTAGTTCCTTATTTGGTAGTGTAATACCCTTTCTAGCCATGTTATTTTCCCCAGGTTAAAAATAATCGCGGCCTACTTACTTTACACCAGGGTTCTTAAATTCCGGTCCTGGAGGGCCGAAACACTTCTGTTTTTTATTTCTACCTGGTAGTTAATTGCACTCACCTGGTGTCCCAGGTCTGAATTAGCCCCTGATTAGAAGGAGAGGATGAAAAACAGAGGTGTTTCGGCCCTCCAGGACCAGAATTGAAGAACCCTGCTTTACACCGTCGATTGTAGGCTAGAGTAAGATCTGCAGCAAGGCGTTGGTCTGTAGACAGACAAGTGTATAATAAACGTTGGCTCTGCTGTTGGCCTCGGGAGTTTATAGATTAATCATTTTACAGCTTCTGGCGGTATAGCGAACTTTGCTTTTCCCGTTTAAAATGGCGCTTCTCATAATGATCTTCATGTGCATTGAGACATTTTATAGCTTGGGAAAATGTGCAGTTAACACATTTTGATGGAACATTTAGATATCTTTAAATAATATTACTCAATAATGGAATGAAAAGTGCCTGACACAAACACCCCCTGAATTTAGATGTATTTATTGCATTAATAAGAACAGTTTACTTTGACAGGTTTCAACTCCTGTTTTCACATTCTTCAATTTAAGCATTTTTTTTTTTCGTTTTCCAAAGATTTGCATAATAAAACTTACACATGGCCATTCTTACAAAGATATTATAAAACTAGCACACTGTGGAGAATGACTAATCTTAGAAGGGATATTTACACAACATGTTGGTTCATTTGAGTAACAAGGAAAATACTAACTGGTACACCCTAAAAAAAGCAACACAAAACAGTCAACCATACAAGTGGCAAAAAGCGAGCCTCAAAATATAAATGAACAGCTGGATCTCCATTGACAGTTATGTAGACAGAAGTACAGAGACTTCCTCAGCTGTAGTAACTTCCACAGACGTGTAACCAACCATGATCCTGTAAGACTACAAGGTATACAGGCATGCATTCCTTTCAACCTAACACTAGCACACCTGATTCAACATATTTAATGCAAATCAAGACCAGTCAGTTGAATTAGGTGTTGTAGTGCTGGGTTGGAACAAAAGCCTGCGCACCCCAGGACTCTAAGACAAGGCTTGGTAACCACAGGTGTAGACGGTCAGGTGTGTTAAACAAACACACAGGTGTAGACAGTCAGGTGTACTACAGGGCGTTGTACTCAACACACTTTGAGGGGTCTGTGGAGAAGTGTTTCTGGCAGATAGTCATCAACCTTTTCAGTCCCTGTGAAAGAGTAAGTGAGAGAGAGTGTGTGAGTGAGTGAGTGAATGAGAGAGAGAGAACAGGACAGAACAGAGGTTAGGATATTTTCACAGGGAGGCTGAGCAGTCAGCTATCTTACTTCTGCTACTCTATATGGGTTAACCCAGATGTTAGGGGTCATCTTTGATCCAAGTTATATTCAGAGGTTAACACAGAGGTCGGAGGTTCTAACCTGGATGTATTTTCTCTGGGTCTCGTCGTTGAGGACATGGGCCACATGTTTGGAGAAGATCTTCTCTCGCCCCGTACGGGCATGGATGCCCACCATGGTCACCCCGATGGGCCAGGGGGCGTTACCAATGGCCATCTGCAGGTACGCATCGTTCGCCTGGAACAGACAAGCACAGTTTAAGAACAACCGCCCAATCATACTAGACAACACAAAACACCCAATATAAGTATCAACAGGTAGAAAACAAGTTCAATACCTTTACATATTCTCTCTGCAGCATGAATTTAATGATGTCTGTGATTGATTCTTTGATGTCTGCGGGCAAACTCTAAAAAATGTAAAAAGAACTACAATAAAAGAAGACCATATCCACCACAGTCATCACATAGCAGTACCATATTAATGGACATCATTTCGCAGAGGGTAGTTCTCTGAGGTGAACACAGACCTTCTTGCGTAGCTTCCGGAATAGCGGTTTGAGGTAGGACTCAGTCTGTTTCTGGGTGGCACTGGCCAGCTTGCCCTGGACGCTGCGCTTCACGTGGTCCTCTCGACCATTCAGGTCCTTCGCCCAGACTCCCAGCAGGAACTACAGACCACAACACAACCACATATGAACACAACAAACTATATCCACAACTGCCTAGAAACTACTGACCATAACAGAACCATGTTATCACACAAACATTTAAACATCATTTTTAAAATCTCCATCACAGCATTACTCTTTGCGCTACAATAAATAATTACAACACTGGAGAGAGATCACATCAGCAATTGTTGAATTTGCAAAACACTCTCCCTGAAGCAAAAAGCAGAGCATGGCGCTCTCGGTCTCACCCTAAGGACTTTGTCGATGACATCCTGGTCCCCATTGTCATCTCCCTTTCCAAGAGATTTACCCAGAGCCTGTAGGACAACAACAAATACCAAACAAGAGGACAAAGGGAATACAGTGTCCTTATGATGCATTGACACATAGGACTTTGTTTGGACTGTGATAGAAGAGGGACATTAAGCACTTTTTATTTACAATTGTGGATTTAAAATGTAGACCTTAAACCCTGAGTTAAGGACAAATATAGTGGCTAGTGACACCCCAGTCTCTGTGTACCTCCAGCTCCTCGATGGTGGTGTCTGCCTCGTGTACTCTTAGGTCGAATTGTGTGTCCACCTCCCCCGGCTCCCCAGTGCCCCCTACGATCTCATTCAGGTACTGTGCGTCAATCTTATCCATGGCTGCTTTCAGGTCGTTCCTCAAACCCTGCCCAGAGAATACACAGTAACACAGGTGATCAGTCAGTGCTTTATCTATACATCACAGGTTGTCAGTGCCCGAAAGGTCATCCATAATATTCTGGGCTAGCATGTACACAACAGTACAATACAAGGGACAATAAGAGGTGGGTGCTTAAAAGTCACTGTGTCAAACTCTTCTTTAACCTTACAAAAACAATATAAAACCCACCACAAAAACAAAGGGCAAGTTCCCACCACCACCCCAGTACCCTGCCTCATAAAACAGTGACAGGACATTACCTTGTTGACTTCCGGGGCGAGAATCTCGATCTTCCTGAGCCTCTGGAAGGCCTCATAGTCTGACTCTGCAAACAGACGCACCGGTTCCCCTCGCTCCCTCAGTCGCCGGATCACCTGGACAAACAAACACATAAACAAGCACGTCTCCTCCCTGTTCATACCTACTGAACAGAACCCAGGAGCCTTGACACAATAAAACCAGCTCTGATTGGCTGACTCACCTCCTGCCGGGAGAGCGACATTGGCAGCTTCTCCTCAGTCAGCTCCAGCTCTAATGTGGTATTGGACGAGGTGGAGGGATCTGCCTTCTCCTCTTTCTTCTCCAGCTTTGAGATAACACAGAGGTAAAGGGAGAGAGAGAGAGGAGTGGGTTAGTTTCCTGTTTTCTCTGTTGTCACTGCTATAGAGTACCACAGTACGAGTCATAATACCCATAAAACCTAGCGTTTAAAACAGGGAAACGGTTCCAATCGTTTCCCACAATTATTCCCATAGGGGTTTTAGGAACACTTAAAATAAGGGCTGTTTTTCATGTGGGCTTACCCTGGCGTGGTGTTTTGATAACCATGTAAATCTTTCTATGACAAGGTGAATGTATTTACCCCCCAAAAAATGAAATGCTAATTAGCTGCTAATGTGGTTATCATAAAGAGCTACGAATGCCATGATCTGGACGAGACTGCCAAATCGAGGCAAAGGTAAGAATCTCTGGATTAACTATCTAATATTAGCTAAATGTAGTACTGAATAAATTGGTTAAATTTCTTTACAAATTCTATGAACTGTCTTGTGCAAGTTTTAAATTGACACAATACCCATTAGCAAAGGTGTCAGCTAGAGATTACTTGCAGGAGCATGTTGTTTTGCATTATGTCTACTTTGATGCTAATTATTGAATCTGAGTAAATAGACTGATATATTGATAAATGGTTATAAAAAAATAAATCCTATGGGAAAAACGATTGGAACCATTTCCGTTTGACTGCTAGGTTTTATGACACCTCCACTGTGGGGCTCTAGAGGCTAAACTCAGAGGTCTCCATTACTATTGGCTCTCACCAGAGATCTATATATTCACAATAAAAAGATGCTAATGTCTTCGTCCTAACAATGGGAGTTGTCGCAAAGGCAGGCGACAAGCTTAGGTCAAAAATAAGCCCATAGACACGCATTGGTCTTATTTTGGACAGATTCTGGCGAGAGTTACACCTCTTGCGTCACCTCTCTCTCTGCCCTCACTGCTGGTGCAATTTTTAATCATTATCATGTTTCTTATAATCATCCTCATTAACATCACTAAAGGCTAAAATGCCAGCAGAAGCAGTAGAGCGTGCTCTCTCAGTACTGTCATGCAGAGACATTGTCCATTGCTGCTGACTCACCTGGGACCAGCAGTTTCTTCCAAATCAAACCAATACTATAAACAGAAAGACTGCTGGTATAGAAATCCACCATACCATTTTAAAGCAGCATGACCATAAGGAAAAAAACACTGTTGCATGTAGACCATCTTCATGGCCATTAAAAATCATGTGTACCGACATTAAACCACTGCAAAGTATAGCAATTTCATCTTTCAGATATACTGACGGGTCATGCTTTTAGAAGCACATGCATCTTTTCACCTTTAGATTGTGCTCCCCATAGAAACACAACCTAAAAAATATATATACAGTGGGGAGAACAAGTATTTGATACACTGCCGATTTTGTAGGTTTTCCTACTTACAAAGCATTCAGAGGTCTGTAATTTTTATCATAGGTACACTTCAATTGTGAGAGACGGAATCTAAAACAAAAATCCAGAAAATCACATTGTATGATTTTTAAGTAATTAATTTGCATTTTATTGCATGACATAAGTATTTGATACATCAGAAAAGCAGAACTTAATATTTGGTACAGAAACCTTTGTTTGCAATTACAGAGATAATTCGTTTCCTGTAGGTCTTGACCAGGTTTGCACACACTGCAGCAGGGATTTTAGCCCACTCCACCATACAGACCTTCTCCAGATCCTTCAGGTTTCGGGGCTTTCGCTGGGCAATACGGACTTTCAGCTCCCTCCAAAAGTGTTCTATTGGGTTCAGGTCTGGAGACTGGCTAGGCCACTCCAGGACCTTGAGATGCTTCTTACGGAGCCACTCCTTAGTTGCCCTGGCTGTGTGTTTCGGGTCGTTGTCATGCTGGAAGACCCAGCCACGACCCATCTTCAATGCTCTTACTGAGGGAAGGAGGTTGTTGGCCAAGATCTCGCGATACATGGCCCCATCCATCCTCCCCTCAATACGGTGCAGTCGTCCTGTCCCCTTTGCAGAAAAGCATCCCCAAAGAATGATGTTTCCACCTCCATGCTTCACGGTTGGGATGGTGTTCTTGGGGTTGTACTCATCCTTCTTCTTCCTCCAAACACGGCGAGTGGAGTTTAGACCAAAAAGCTCTATTTTTGTCTCATCAGACCCCATGACCTTCTCCCATTCCTCCCCTTGATCATCCAGATGGTCATTGGCCAACTTCAGACGGGCCTGGACATGCGCTGGATTGAGCAGGGGGACCTTGCGTGCGCTGCAGGATTTTAATCCATGACGGCGTAGTGTGTTACTAATGATTTTCTTTGAGACTGTGGTCCCAGCTCTCTTCAGGTCATTGACCAGGTCCTGCCGTGTAGTTCTGGGCTGATCCCTCACCTTCCTCATGATCATTGATGCCCCACGAGGTGAGATCTTGCATGGAGCCCCAGACTGAGGGTGATTGACCGTCATCTTGAACTTCTTCCATTTTCTAATAATTGCGCCAACAGTTGTTGCCTTCTCACCAAGCTGCTTGCCTATTGTCCTGTAGCCCATCCCAGCCTTGTGCAGGTCTACAATTTGATCCCTGATGTCCTTACACAGCTCTCTGGTCTTGGCCATTGTGGAGAGGTTGGAGTCTGTTTGATTAAGTGTGTGGACAGGTGTCTTTTATACAGGTAACGAGTTCAAACAGGTGCAGTGTATCAAATACTTGTTCTTCCCACTGTGTGTGTGTATATATATATATATATATATATATGAACAAGTATTTGATACACTGCCGATTTTGCAGGTTTTCCTACTTACAAAGCATGTAGAGGTCTGTAATTTTTATCATAGGTACACTTCAACTGTGAGAGACGGAATCTAAAACAAAAATCCAGAAAATCACATTGTATGATTTTTAAGTAATTAATTTGCATTTTATTGATGACATAAGTATTTGATCACCTACCAACCAGTAAGAATTCCGGCTCTCACAGACCTGTTCGTTTTTCTTTAAGAAGCCCTCCTGTTCTCCACTCATTACCTGTATTAACTGCACCTGTTTGAACTCGTTACCTGTATAAAAGACACCTGTCCACACACTCAATCAAACAGACTCCAACCTCTCCACAATGGCCAAGACCAGAGAGCTGTGTAAGGACATCAGGGATCAAATTGTAGACCTGCACAAGGCTGGGATGGGCTACAGGACAATAGGCAAGCAGCTTGGTGAGAAGGCAACAACTGTTGGCGCAATTATTAGAAAATAGAAGAAGTTCAAGATGACGGTCAATCACCCTCGGTCTGGGGCTCCATGCAAGATCTCACCTCGTGGGGCATCAATGATCATGAGGAAGGTGAGGGATCAGCCCAGAACTACACGGCAGGACCTGGTCAATGACCTGAAGAGAGCTGGGACCACAGTCTCAAAGAAAACCATTAGTAACACACTACGCCGTCATGGATTAAAATCCTGCAGCGCACGCAAGGTCCCCCTGCTCAAGCCAGCGCATGTCCAGGCCCGTCTGAAGTTGGCCAATGACCATCTGGATGATCAAGGGGAGGAATGGGAGAAGGTCATGTGGTCTGATGAGACAAAAATATAGCTTTTTGGTCTAAACTCCACTCGCCGTGTTTGGAGGAAGAAGAAGGATGAGTACAACCCCAAGAACACCATCCCAACCGTGAAGCATGGAGGTGGAAACATCATTCTTTGGGGATGCTTTTCTGCAAAGGGGACAGGACGACTGCACCGTATTGAGGGGAGGATGGATGGGGCCATGTATCGCGAGATCTTGGCCTACAACCTCCTTCCCTCAGTAAGAGCATTGAAGATGGGTCGTGGCTGGGTCTTCCAGCATGACAACGACCCGAAACACACAGCCAGGGCAACTAAGGAGTGGCTCCGTAAGAAGCATCTCAAGGTCCTGGAGTGGCCTAGCCAGTCTCCAGACCTGAACCCAATAGAAAATCTTTGGAGGGAGCTGAAAGGTGCGACAGCCTCGAAACCTGAAGGATCTGGAGAAGGTCTGTATGGAGGAGTGGGCCAAAATCCCTGCTGCAGTGTGTGCAAACCTGGTCAAGACCTACAGGAAACGTATGATCTCTGTAATTGCAAACAAAGGTTTCTGTACCAAATATTAAGTTCTACTTTTCTGATGTATCAAATACTTATGTCATGCAATAAAATGCAAATTAATTACTTAAAAATCATACAATGTGATTTTCTGGATTTTTGTTTTAGATTCCGTCTCTCACAGTTGAAGTGTATCTATGATAAAAATTCCAGACCTCTACATGCTTTGTAAGTAGGAAAACCTGCAAAATCGGCAGTGTATCAAATACTTGTTCTCCCCACTGTATATATATATATGAAAAAATATTACACAACGAAAGCCCCCAAAATGCACAAAGAATCCAAGTCAGATGCAGGTGCTGCATTTGTAAGCCAAAACCTGTTTTATAGGCACATTTAGAGCTGTATTAGTCAGTTGAATTGAAATGCAGTTCTCTCCCCACACATGAGCGATTCTAAAAAGTAAGGCAAAACCTGCAAACACAAGAACCATGGGGGAAAAAAACTGAAAGTTGTTTCTGGTACAAAGGCCCATATCAAACTTGTTTGAAACATAAGAGGCAAAGCCTGATTAACCCAAAACTTTAAAAAAGCTAAAGGATAAACTGATAAGAGCCTAAACTCATGCTCAACATGGCTATGTCCCAACTCTCCATTCCTTGCCCCCTCTCCTTCCAGACAACTGATCAGTGAAGGGACTGAATACAACCCACACAGCCACACTGTTGTGACTGCAGAACTAGACTGGTTTAAGCAACACAGAAGCTCTAAGCCTATTGGAAGGATGGGTGGCGCAACCACCATATCGTTTAACAGTGCTTACAATCAGCTAACATTGAAGCAGCCTGGAGGAAAGAACTAGGTAAGGGGTTATTTTTGGACTGTATATTGCTAGTTTGCTGCTAGATACGTTTCCTCCATATTTTGCAGACAGGTAGAATTGAAGGGAAGATGCCGAGGAAAGGGGAGCTTTGCAAGATTTTTGGGACACACCACTGCCTACGATCGGTCATCCTCTAAACATGCTCCCTGCCTGCTGCGCCATCATCCCCTACCTGTCTCTCAGGTGCCTCTTTCTGAACCTGCAGGGCAGCGTTCACAAGGTGGGAAGAGAGCACAGTCAACACATGCTACGCAACATCAGAAAAACACACTACCACACAACCCTGTAAGGTGGTCTAGCCGTAGCCTGCACTGTAACTCTGAAAACAAGTCAATGAGGGGAGAAAAAAACACATTATTGTGGAGATTGAACAGACAGTGCAGAGAGAGGAAGGGAATGGAAGAAGGTGGTGGACTACAGAGAGGAAGGGAGAATCTCGAAACAAGGAGTAAGATGAAGTGCACGAGGGAGAGGGAGAAAGAGAGAACAGACAAAGGGCTATAATGGGATACAGCTAGCCTTTGATCATGACTCTCAGTTCCATTACATTACACATAAGAGTCATTGGACGAAGGAGTCTTCTGTACAGGGGTGTTTTGTTAAGAGCCCTGATGCTCGGTCTGAACATTACCACGTATCGCTTGCGGTGCGGTTTTGGAAGAATAAGGACCTTATCTTTCACATCGGTGAGACATTTTCAAAAATCAAAAGGTTGAATTGATACACACTTTTATAGGGTTAGGGTTCCCACACGGTCATCTTTCCATGTTACAGCGCTTGTTTACAGAAAACAGACAAGACGGAGGGACTACATGTGCTAATTGGCTGTCTGCATCTCCGAACACCTGTGTGTAAACAGAAGAAGGTGGCCACAAACGTGTTGTCACTGAAAAATACTGTCGGCTACAACTGTTAAAACCGGTTCAAACAGTACAGTAAGTGTATTTTGATGTGATATGAAAGTTGAGGGATTTGTGTTTCTAGAACCGTACCAATTCACATTTAGATTGAGAAAATGTATAACTAAGGAAGAATTTGTCACTTCTCGCACTGACTTCTCAAACCCCAAACCCCAGAATGGTCTACTAAAGGCATGCTTCAGTTCGGCTGGCGGCTAGCCCCAGTCAACTAGGCGAACCAAACGAGTGTACTCGCATACTCCCTTAAGACCTTCATACTCACATAAGACCGCTTGAAAAACGAGAAAAAACGCAATAGTACTGTTTGTCCATTTTGAGACGCCGTAGCCAGTATACACTTCCTCAAAATCGTCTGAATTAATTAAAGCTAACTCAAGAAATCTGTCATTAATTGAAGTTTTGCCAAGGGTAATCTTAGTCACGCAATTTTATATCTAAGCCATTTGTTGCACTATTTCTCAATGAAAAAATTGGCATGAAAATGAGTAGTCTCTCATTGAATGACAAAGACTCTCCTGATGAATCCCTACTGTTGACCAATCACCGACGAAGGGGCGTAGACGTCGGGTTGCTTAAAGAAAAAAATGTGTGCCCGAACAACCAAAAATAAAAACCTTACCTAAATCCAAAACTGTCGTCATAACTATTCCGAACTGTTTCGGCTGGGAAGCATGCGGACGTCTTTAGTCTGCTTCGCAAGCGTTCCCGGAAGTCTCGCGATGTTGCGTATCTGGGTTTAGAAACTCTGATATTACCTTGTAGCCACATCGTTTTGAAATACTCCTCTTCTTCTTTTCGGGCAAGATCGGCCCGCTTGAAGTATTTCTTTGAATCCTGTGAATAGATTCATTAACACCGCATATCAACAACAAGATGCAATGATGGCAACATTTTAATCTCACAAGTACATTTAATACTTAGTTAACTAACGTTAGTTATGTCAGATGAGCTCTTGAAACTAAGCTAAGATGGCTAGTTTGCGTTAGCTGGCGCAAGCATGCCGCGAACCTCAGAGCCCTATAGCTCTTAATTGTATCATGACGCAGGCTCCCCCCAACTTGTACTTTAAGCTAACGTTAGCTAGCTAGCTACTATTTTCAGTAAACATAATTAAATTCAACTTTCATGTATCTGCCCACGCACGCCAAGCAACCTAACTAGTTATCATTGCCTAGCTAACTAACATAAGCAACGCTAGCTAGCTAAATGTAGCTAGCTGACTAGTGAATGTAACTAGCTAGCAGCTACTCACATCAATAAGATCTTTGTCTTCAATTAGTTTTCTCTTCCTCGCGATTTCAGCTTTTAAGAAATCCATATTAGTTTTCAAATATGTCGTTATTTCTTTAGTCTTCACAGTTCAAATATATAGACTGGAGCAGCTGATCAGCTGTTTGGGAATACGCTAGAAACAATTATTCTCCGATGAGGTTTAACGGCGGTTGGCATCCAATATGTTACATTACCGCCACCTACTAGACTGGAGTACAACTACCCTATACTTTGCTTGAAAAATAAAACAAAAATAAAGAAATACCATACCATCTAACACTACACTCAAAACTTCAAAATAAATTTAAAATTAAATTATCACCACCATACTCCACTATTTAAATATATGTATTCCTACCTCATGCCCTCAACCTGAAATGATGGGACATCACCACTTAACACACCCTGTAACTCTTCTGATGTGAAGTCTCACACCCAAATTGCTGGAAACAATCTGACCAGGACATGAATAAGAATTCCTCCAACGTGAATAGACACGTCATGACCTTCAAAATAAAAGCAATTGGACTAAGGGTGTGAACTATGGGAAGTAATGGCTGTCTTTAGAAGACAAATAGACTACACTTGACTTTTATTCTTATATGTGAACAATGAAGTAGCTACATTGTAACAATAATAACAATGGCTACATTTTGGAGAACAGGGAGAGCAAACAAGGCACAAAAAACATAATTTAATATAATAGAATTACATGTCAGATAGCCTACAGATACAAACCTGCTCTGGCTATTCTCCCTCAATCACAATAATCCACTTAATGTGGAAGGAGTTTGAAACAGGTTTTGTTCATGCTGAGAGTTCAGAAGTGCACTCACTGGATGCACATACGTTTCCCATGCCAATAAAGCCCTTTGAATTGAGAGAGAGAGAGAGAGAGAGAGAGAGAGAAGAAACGTTCAGTTTAACTTTTCACATGGTTTCACCAAAACTGTTGAAACATAATATAATGATATGGCCCTAAGAAAGTGTTAAGACTTATTAATCAAGTGTTATATATATATATTCTAATTTCTCAATCAACCGATTCATCTTTTCAATTGTTTATGATACAGTTCTCTGGACAACAGTTTGACCCCCCAGTCCAGAATATTAGCTATAGTGACCATCAGGTGGCACAAAGGAATAGATGTGATTAATTTTTAAGTAGGCCTATTAAGTAATTTATTGATTAGTTGAAGAGATTTTAGAGCGTGAAGGTTTGCTGGCACTATAAAATATCCTGAAGAAGGCAAATTTTAACTTTTTGGGTCCGGGGACCCCTTTTGTGATAGCAAATTCATCAAGGATCCCTGGGTCGACCCCTTCATAATAATCAGAGCACAACTCTACTGAGATAAAAATAGCATACAAGGAGTTTAACTATGACTTCTGCAGTGCATGGCCGGATGAACCAAGTCTCGGGCCCTGGGAAGGAACATTTTAAAGGCCCATCTCTTGGCATTGGAGAGAAAATTTAGCACTTTTCAAGCTAATTTCCTTCAATTCTACACATTTTGTCATTGGGCAGAGAAATGTTTTGTTGCACACCTTTAAAGCTAATATCCTGCATTTCTATACATTTTGACATGAGGCAGAGAGAAAACATTGCAGTTTTAAAGCTTAAATTACAGTGCATTTATGTTTTTTTTTTTTTTGGGGGGGGGGGGGGGGGGGGAATACAAGAAGTATTGAGTTGAAAAATGTATAATTGGTGGAGAACCGTGAATACCAATATCCCTGTGAGCCTCCCAGGTCCATGTTTCTCATGGTTAAGAACATAAATTGTAGATGAATAATATGACATTGTATTGTATTACACATCATAAAAAAAATGAAATGTAAAAAAAGTCCCTGTCCGGTAAGCCAGACAATGGAGAGGCTTGTCTCGTTTAGACAGTCATACAGAAGCGTGGGTGTCAGAGCTGCCTGGACACAAAGTTTGTCCCCTGTGATGACGCGTGTGTGTTCCCCTACAGATGTGTCTCCTGCAGCAGTACAGGCTCCCTGCTGTATGTGTAACTGTAAGAGCACCTTACAGGCCATTCTACAGGAGATACGCACCATGAGGAGGCTAATGCAAACACAGAAAGGTTCCCAGGAGAAGCAAGAGCACACGACCCCTCCCTGGCCGCCTTGCCCTGTCTCCCCAGCCCCATGCCGCAGACCCCGCAAGAGACGCCCCGTTCACAAGGTGGCTCCAATGAGTGCACCCAGTAAGAGGGCAGCTGTTCCCCCTCTCCCCCCATGTTTACCCCTGGAGCCCGGGGGGAGGAGGGAGACGGGGTGCAGAGAGATGGAGAGGCCTGTGCACACCCCTGCCTCACCCGCTACCTCCACCTCACCTGACCTCTCAGTACCAACCCTCTCCATGCAGAACAAGCCCATCCCCAGTGATGAAATGCATCTAGCGGAGGACTACGAGGTGTTTATCCCTAAGGCCCAGCTGGACTCAATCCTGGTCAACTACACACACGCTCTGGCAGCCTGCTCTTCAGGAAGCTGGTAGGTCTTATTAACCTTATCAATGACTTTATTGACTTTGTTCATGTTGATTGACACACCTTCCATCTTGGTCACAGGTGTGCACCTTCTTTGCCGACACCACGCTCGCTAACTCACTGCCCAATGGCAAGAGGAAGAGAGGTCTGAACGACCACAGGAAAGGACTGGACCAGAACATTGTGGGAGCCATTAAAGGTAGAAAAGAGAGAGAGTGAGAGAGAAAGAGAGAGAGAGAGAAAGGGGTGGGGGGAGAGAGAGATGGGGAATAGAGCGAGAGAGAGACAGGTGATGTCTATTTGTTTTGTTGGGTCTTCTGTTAATCTCCCGTGCTCTGTCTAGTGTTTACAGAGGAGTACTGCACAGCTCACAGAATAGAGAAGCTGCTGGGCCCTCGAGACTGGGTCCAGATACTACAGGACCAGATCAAACTGTCCCGCAGACGCCTTAAAGAGAGGTAGGGGTGTGTGTATGTGTGTATGTGTTCAGAAGGTGCCTTACTGAAACTGTTGTTTTGTTGACTCCGCAGAGGCTACAGACCCTGAGGACATCTTCAACGAACAGGTACACACAGTCGCTGAACCTGCCTTTCCCCTGCCCCTCCCTCACTTACCCATCTTTCATCCGTCACTGGTTTATGCACTTTGGGTGTAATGGCTCTGTCTTTGGCCTGTATGTCATAGTGAGGTCATCCACCTGACATCTGACATTCTCATCTCAAACTCCCAAAATGTCAGCTAATTAGTTTCACACTGTGCTCCTCTCTCTCCTGCTCCTCTCTCTTTCAATTATCTCTTTCACACACACTCCCAAAATGTCAGCTAATTAGTTTCACACTGTGCTCCTCTCTCTCCTGCTCCTCTCTCTTTCAATTATCTCTTTCACACACACTCCCCTTCTCTCTCCTTTGTCTCTCACTCTCTTTCACCAATCCCGCTACTCTCTTTCTCATGTCTCCCATATTTAGGTCTCTCACACTATTTATTTCTCATTCTTTCCCTCTCTCCCTCGCCTTTTCTCTCTTTTGCCCTCTACAACTGTTTCTGTCTTCCATTCCTCTCTTTACCCTGCTCCTTCCCTCCGTCTGTCTATACTGCTCTATTACCTCATGGCTTATCAGTCCAGCAGTTCTGTAACAGTAGGGTGGGGGAAGTGGACACTGTCCAGAGGATTTACTGGACTGGACTGTGTTAAACTGGACTAAGCTCACCACATTTAACAGCAGCTCTCATAGGAGAACAGCAGTACACTGGAGACTAGCAAACGATCTACATTCACTATAGTATCGTAATTAACGCTTTATTGAACAGCTGTATGCTTTTTAACTGTGAAAATAAACTGTGAGGTGACACTTTCCACAGTATCATTTCATTTTCCCCATTTTGTAACGGCCTTACACACCTTTTATTTACGTTTTCTTTAATTTTATTTGTTGTATTTTGATGTGGATTGCTAGCTATGATGATGTCATCTTCTTGCAATAAAATCTCTTCAGCTGTCTGGAGAGAGGGGGGAGAGGGAGTTTCTAACAACAGGTAACACCACACACACACACACACACTTTCGCTTATAATTTGTTTTCGTACATTTCATTCAATAATGTTTTAATTGTAAGCGTAAAAATGTGTCATGTAAGCTGTGACTACAACAAGCCAGCAAGTTTGGTAGAGGTGGGGAAGAATGTGACTGATTGATGCCGGTGCTGCAAACCAACGGCTTGCAATGAAAATGAAACGTACTGTATGTCTATGTTGCTCCACTAACTTCAGTCGTTGTTCCACTTTAGCAAGTCCATTTTGGAAGATGTATTGTTATTTTACAGCTGTGATAAATTTGTATCGTGGTTTGTAGATTTTTAAAAAACATGACGCTGACCAAAATGAGTTGGTTAGTGAAATGTAGTTAGCTTCCATGGACTGCTTTTGTGATGCGTGATTTGAAGGAGTCAGGCGCAGGAGGGTAAATCACAGTATACAGAGTTTATTCCATAATCCGGCGTAACCAGTCCAGTGCGCAAAACAGGCGCACTGGAACAAACATGCACACAGGGAAAATACCCAGGCAATACAAAATACTGAGCTCAACCGAGCTACTAATCCTCACAATGAACAATCACCCACAAGGACAAGGGGGGCAGAGGGAACACTTAACACGTACTAATGAGGGGAATATGAACCAGGTGTGTGTAATTGACAAGACAAGACAAATGGAATGCTCAGATATGGAGCGGCAGTGTCTAGAAGGAGGGGAGGCAGCTTCGGAGGAAGTCATGACAGTACTCCCCCCTTGACGCGCAGCTCCAGCAGCAAGGAGGACGCGAAGCAGGGTGAGCCAGATGGCGACGGTGGACATACACCCTCACGTCCTTAGCCAAGGTAGGCCACCAGTACTTTCCGGTCAGGCAGCACACTGTACAACCGATACCTGGGTGACCAGAGGAGGGTGACATGTGTGCTCAGTAGATCAGACGGTCACGGATAAAAGCAGGCACGTACTGCAGTCCAGCTGGACACTGAGGTGGAGATGGCTCTGTGCGTAACGCCTGCTCTATATCCGCGTCCATCGTCCATACTACCGCGCCACAATGCAGGAGGCCGGGAGTATGGGGGTGTTGTCTCTGGGCCTCTCCTCTGTGTCATACAGCCATTACAATGTGTCTGCCTTCACGTTCTTCGTACCCGGGATGTATGATAGTGTGAAATCAAACGGGGTGAAGAATAGGGCCCACCTGGCCTGGCGAGGATTCAGCCTCCTCGCTGCCTGGACCAGGTTACGGTGGTCCGTCCAGACGAGGAAAGGGTGTTTCGCCCCTTCGAGCCAATGCCTCCACACAGTCAGGGCTCGGACAACATCCAACAGCTCTCAATCACCAACGTCGTAGTTCTGCTCCGCCGGGCTGAGCTTCTTAGAGAAGAAAGCACAGGGGCGGAGCTTGGGTGGCGTGCCCAAGCGTTGAGATAGGACAGCGCCTATCCCTACCTCGGACGCATCCACCTCCACTACGAACGGTAGTGATGTATCTGGGTGGGCCAGTACCGGGGCTGATGTGAACAGACCCCTCAGGTTACTGAAGGCCCTGTTCGCCTCAGCAGACCAGCGGAGCCGGGACGGCCCACCCTTCAACAGAGATGTAATGGAAGCTGCGATCTTGCCAAAGCCCCGGATAAACCTCTGATAGTGGTTGGCGAAGCCAATAAAGCGCTGCACCTCCTTAACCGTGGTTGGAGTCGGCCAATTACGCATGGCTGCAATGCGATCTCCCTCCATCTCCACACCTGAGGTAGTAATGCGGTATCCGAGAAAGGAGACAGACTGCTGGAAAAACAGACACTTTTCTGCCTTGGCATAAAGGTTATTTTCCAGCAATCGGGCCAGCACTTTGCGAACCAGGGACACATGCTCGCCGCGCGTAGCGGAATACACCAGGATGTCATCGATGTAGACCACCACACTGCGACCAAGCATGTCCCGAAACACCTCGTTCACAAAGGACTGGAAAACGGATGGAGCATTCATCAAACCGTAGGGCATCACCAGGTATTCATAATGCCCCGAGGTTGTGCTGAATGCGGTTTTCCACTCATCCCCTTCCCGAATACACACCAGGTTGTAGGCACTCCTGAGGTCTAATTTGGTGAAAAAACGAGCCCCATGCATTGACACAATCACTGACGGAATGAGGGGAAGAGGATAACTAAATCGTACAGTCACCTTATTCAGTGGTCGATAATCAATGCACGGGCGTAAACCGCCATCTTTCACAAAGAAGAAACTCGAGGAAGCAGGTGAAGTGGAGGGACGTATATACCCCTGGCGCAGGGACTCGGTGACGTATGTTTCCATAGCCTCCGTTTCAGCCTGTGACAGGGGATACACATGACTCCTGGGAGGTACAGCGTCTACCCGAAGGTTTATCGCGCAATCCCCCTCCCGATGAGGTGGTAATTTAGTCGCTTGCGTCTTGGAAAACGCAAGCGCCAGATCATGGTATTCGGGGGGAATGCGCACGGTGGGGGTACCGTCTGGACTTTCCACCGTGGTCGCACCAACGGAAACACCTAGACACCTACCCGGACACTCACGCGACCACCCCATAAGAACCCTCTGCGGCCATGAAAAAGTGGGGTTGTGAAGGGCTAACCACGGAATACCTAAGACTACAAGGTAAGCAGGAGACTCAATAATCAAAAAAGTGATCTGCTCAACATGCGTAATCATGGTGACTGGTACAGTAACCTCCTTAACCAACCCGGACCCTAATGATCGACTATCAAGTGCTTTAATGGGGAGTGGAATGGATAGGGGAACCAATGAAATGCCTTGACGGCATGCAAATGCCCTGTCCATAAAGTTCCCAGCTGCGCCTGAATCGACTAGCGCCTTACACTGGGAAACTACCAGGTGATCGGGAAAGGAGATAGATAAGGTACAGTGCGCCGCAAAGGGCTCTGAACAATTTTGGGTGTTCGTACCCTGGGGTGATGCGTGAGTACCCTGCCTTCCGCCTCCAGACCCAAAGGAACGTTGACTGCGATGTGAGGTGGATTGTCTCTTCGTGCCACCAGAGTGGCACTGTTGCTGTCCTCATGCGCTCTCTCGACCGGTGGCTCCCCCCAGCTCCATCTGCTCGGGGTCAGAGTCGTCCGGAGTGGGAACGGGCAGACCGCTACCAGGACGTCCTCTGGCTACTAACAGATTGTCCAGCCGGATGGCCATGTCCACCAGTTGGGAGAACGATAGCATGGCATCATGGCAGGCTAGCTCCCGTCGGACGTCCTCCCTTAGGTGGCACCGGAAATGGTCGATCAGGGCCCGCTCGTTCCACCCGGACCCCGCTGCCAGCGTCCGTAACTTCAGTGCGTAGTCCTGTGCGGTCCTCGTCCCCTGCCTCAGATGGACCAGTCGTTCGTCCGCCTCTCGACCCTCAGGCGGGTGATCGAAAACGGCCCGAAAGAGGCGAGAAAACTCCCCATAGTCCTCCAACGCGGCACCTCCCTCGTTCCACACCGCGTTGGCCCACTCCAGGGCATTCCCACAAAGGCAGGAAACGAGGACGGATACCTTCTCCCACTCCAGTGGCGCCGGCCTGATGCTGGAGAAATACAACTCTAGTTGGAGCAGAAATCCCTTACATCGCGCTGCCGTCCCATCAAACGCCGGTGGCCGGGATATCTGGACCCCTCCAGGGGCTGGGGTGTAGGTGGCTGGATCCGGTTGACCAGCTGGTCTCGATAGATCAGGTCCTCTCCTCTCCAGGCGTTGTACTACCTGATGAACCCGATCCATCGCTTCCCCCAAACTGGCCAGCATCGAGGAATGCTCCTGGACCCTTGCCACAACTCCATGCATGCGGTCTTCTCCTGCTGACTCCATTCAGCGGGTGAGTAATTCTGTGATGAGGTGTGAATGAAGGAGTCAGGCGAAGGAGGTAAAACACCGAAGTCCAGAGTTTATTCCGTTTACATAAATAAAACGCACCCAGTGTCAATACGAAACTATCACAAGGGAAATAATCCACCTTGGCAATAACAAATGGAAGAGTAGCTCAACCGAGCTACTTGCTCTCACAATGAAACAATCACTCACAAAGACAAGGGGAACAGAGGGAACACTTATACACATACTAATTAGGGGAATGAGCACCAGGTGTGTGTGATTGACAAGACATGACAAGTGGAGTGATGAGAATGGGATCGGCAGTAGCTAGTAAGCCTCGGCGGAAGTCGTGACAGTTGTCTTAATGGTATTCTACCCTGCCACTCACTATGCATCCATCCCAGTGCTATTCATGTAATTAATGTGACCAATAGGACAGTTCTGTTTTGTGTTCACTAACTGTGCCACCTGCCAACTCCTTCATGTAATTCTCCTTTGTGTACTTGTACAGATGACTGTGTATAACACATATGAATAAATATGGTCTGATGGTACTGTGTTTTAGTTGGTGATTAGTGCTGCTTTGAGCGCTAACAGTCTGGAATAGATAGGGCCTTATGATTATGTCAGTGGCCCACCCAATCACTGGCCCACCCAATCAGGCTAGTTTAAAATAGGGGTGTGAACGTTAAAACATTTAAACGAAATTGTTATTGTTAACATTAAAAAATCCCTAACCAAAAAACTGTAGTTAAAATCACAGTGCTGTTATCACAAAACTACCACTAACAAGTCCTGATCATACTCATGAAGGAAAACAAACGGAGCTGCATGAGGGAGAGAGAAGCAGAGCAGCAGCCTGGCAGCAGCTGCTCAAGCAGGGAGTGGAGGGGCTGTGTGGTGTGTGTCTATGAGTAACCTGTGGTGTAAAGTACTTAAGTAAAACTACTTTAAAGTATAATAATATAATATAATATGCCATTTAGCAGACGCTTTTATCCAAAGCGACTTACAGTCATGCGTGCATACATTTTTGTGTATGGGTGGTCCCGGGGATCGAACCCACTACCTTGGCGTTACAAGCGCCGTGCTCTACCAGCTGAGCTACAGAGTAGTTTTGGGGGGATATCTGTACTTTAATTTACTATTTATATTTTTGCCAACTTTTACTTTTACTTCACTACATTCCTAAAGAAAATAATGTACTTTTTACTCATTACATTTTGACAGGAAAATAGTCCAATTCACACACTTATCAACAGAACATCCCTGGTCATCCCTACTGCCTCTGATCTGGCAGACTCACTAAACACAAATG